GGTCATTTTCTGCAAGGGCATTATCTTTTTCTCTATTGATGTTTTCTTGCAGTAAAAAAAAAAAAAAAAAGTTTACTAACTGACAGAACTGGGTAGATTACCTACAAATTTAAATCTGTTACTGGTTACAGATTACATAAAGAAAACTGTACATTGTCTTGGTTACTCATTTTAGGTAATGTAATCTTAGTACTTTTTAGATTACTTTCAGAATGCTTTTTAATTAAACTTATTTTAAACTAACATTAAACGTACCGTATTCTGTTCTTTCAAAGAGAAAGAAAATATATAAAAGTTTTGTCAATTCCATCAACATCATAAAATGCATTAAACACTATTTTACACTAGGGTTTCTCAAAAAAATGCTTAATGTAAGAACTGCAATGGGTTTGTGAGTTGATAAAAAGATAATTAAACTATAAAAATGCAAAAAATAAAATAAATAAAAAAATAAAATAATAATAATAATAATAATAATACATTAAAAAAATTAAAATACTTGAAGACTTCATGTCAGTTTGACCATTAACCAACTTCAAAAAAGTGTGTTATTTAATTATTTGAAATATTAACTTCCTCAGAGATATTTCAAGTAAATATTTTATTTTAAGGGGTTTAGCGGACAAAAACATTTGGTAATCCCTGCATTAATTGAACAAACATTAATAAACATGAAAACAACAATGCCATTACATGCCCAAAGGCTTCCAGGTTTGAAATATTTCTGTCCATACTTCCAGAATCAACAATTACTGAAGGTATCTGGATGATAACAGTGTTTCACAGCTGTACATCACCAGTGTTTAGTAACTTGCATAATTATTTGTTTCATACATGGTCTATTTGCTTGAGAGGTGCTTTTTCCCTCAAATTCAGAAGCATGGTTTGCACATTTATTTACACAACATTTATGAATATATTCAAAGCTAAATAGTATGACACACAGTAGGATTTTTAGAATCTGATTATGCAATCCAGAATACACGATGTAGGCCTAATCAATTACTACTCAGCACTGCTGACTGACATTAACAATTGCAAGAAGAGAGTTTTCTTAAAATGCTTTTTCATTATGGTAATTTCTGCTGTATTTCAGTGATTAAAAGAAGACTGAAATGTAACAAAACAATGATAACACACAAATATTACCCTGTTGTCCCCTCTTTTACATGGTCCATGACCTTGATCAGTTAGCTCACAGATGCAGATGTTTATACCCAGTGCAGGAATATTTTACGATGACTACTTCCCCCTGGTGGGTATATATGGTATTATATTTTCAGTTGTATTCGGCAATTGGTCCAGACATGACAAGGAGGCACCCAGCCAGACACAAGCACAAACCAGAAAATTGTGCAACAGATAAAATCAGCTTTCAGAATCTGCAAAATGTGCTATTTTACACAATAGGAGTTTACATGATAATAGGATTACATGATTCCATATTATTATTTTTTACACAATAGCAATAATTTTTCAATAATCCGCTACTGATGAGAACATTAACTTTGAATTATCACTCAGTAGGCTATTTTACCATGTATTACTTTGGAAGGCATTTCTCTTTCAAACACATTAAAATGCACAAAAAAATACAAATACACCAACCTTTTTTTTTTCATCTGATCCTCTTTCACCTAATATATTTTTATTCGAAGTTCCCCTGAAATGTTAAAATAAATATTTTAATAATTAAGTATCACATTTGCATGTTCATGGTTCTCTCATTTTTTCAGTGCGTTTTATTTTGATTCATTTTAAAAACATTTCATTTAACATTTTTATGATTTAATTAATTATTAGCTTTTCATTAAACTCATAAACCCCCTGCAGTTCCTTCACAAACCCAGCTTGGGAAACCTTGATGTAATATTATGTTCAATGCACTTCATGTTGTTGATAACGACAAATGGAATATATTTTCTTACTCTTTGTATTAGTTTTTTTTTTATATCAATATGGTACAAGATTACCCTATTTAAATCAATGTGAAAAACAAGATCGGTCAAAAGTAATCTAAAAGTAGTCTGATTATATTACCTAAAATGTGTAATGTAATGGACTATGTTACTAACTACAATTTTTGTAATGTAATTTGGAATCAGTAACGGATTATAATTTGTAAGTAACTCTTTGTGTTGTTACCCGGATGATCTGTTTGTCTGCAGTTCTGCCCACTGTTCTTAAGAAATATCTTCCAGGTCCTGCATTTTCTTTGGTTTTCCAGCATCTTCTACATTTTTTACCTCTATCCAACAGATATAATTTTGGGATCCATTTTTTACACTTAGGGCAAATTATGGATTTATACACAACTATAACAAAAGATGCAAACATTCATTGATGCTCAAAAAACAGCAGACTAAGATGACGTAAACTTTTGAACAGGATCGTCAGTGTACATTTTTCATATTTTGTTTAAATATCTTTTTATTTTTAGAATTAGTAGAATAATGCCCTTAAGAAGTTTTAAGACAAAATAACAAGAATTCACATTGATCACTCTGTTAAAAATGTACAAAAGTTGTTTATTATGATTTACCACGAAACAGGACAGGGATGAATAATCGAATTTTCAGAACACCAGAACCATATTAGATAACTTATCTGTTAAGCACCTTTTGTTCTCTGTTTTCATATGAAGTTTCCGTAACTCACAGAGATGGAGATAAACTGTGTGTGATCCAAAAGGTTCTACATCTGTCTTGAACTGGTGCGGTTCCGTTTTTAAGATATAAATAAACTGGCAAAGCTTAGGGCATTCAATGTAAAAAGCGTTTGCCATAGTATGCTACAGTAAGCAACGTCACTACGCCAAGCCATCGTCATAGTAGGGTACGTTCTTATCCGGTAGTTGCTTTGGTAACTTGCGTAAACAAATGGCGTCCAAGATGATCCGAGCAACGCTTGCTACAGCTCGTTTGTTTTGAAGCTACGGTAGGTATTAATCGTCTGAACGTTTGATGGGCAATTGATATATCTAAAACGAACATGTTTGTTTGTATAATACATTGTTGTATTAAAACAGTCTGTTCGATGAGATGGATGACGAGCCTTTTTCTACAACGCTTGCATACACGAAAAGCCCTAAAGCATCCAGAAGAACAACTTTTCAGGTATTAGTGTCAAATCATTAGTGTGCTCCAATGTTAAAAATGTCTTTAGATTGTTGTCAGACACATCAGTTTCTGTCTCAAGGTGTAGTGATCTGCCTATCTATTCTAGACAGTTGTGGCGCGTTTCGAATTGAATGTTTGTAACCACAAAATAAAATACTCTCTATGACACGTGCCTGTTGCTGAATTTCAGGATGAGCTAAAGCAAGCTGTGTCTGCTAGAGGCAACAGGCATAGTTACTCTGATTATGGAAAGCCGTTGTAACATTTAATCTATAAGCCGATGACTTTGACGATGGTAAAGATGGTGATTATGACGGTAGGTTTTACAATGCCATGCTTATCTAAAATATGTTCACTGTATTTGTATACTACTGGTTTACTCAGAGCTACAGACCTTACCGTGAATCAGTTTGTTTATTTTCTTAGCAATGTTTGTAATTCAGTTTTTCTTATTGTTCTTTACCTTTATATTTGAATTCAGCAGACATACTTAAACTCCTTAAGATACAAAAACAGAAGAAAGAGAGATATAAAGCTGCAAAGACAAAAGGCAAAATCAACAATTTCAAGCTTTCAGATGATGAAGAGGAAAATGTCAAACCCAAAAAGTATCTTTTATGAAAACAAAAAGGACCAGGTCGCCTGTGCACTTTGATCAGCTGAACACCACAGGAAGTGCAGATGCCCAACCTAGTTCTTTCCATTCCACCCAGTCCAGGAATACTTCTCAAAGTCCAAGCAATTCTTACACTCCAGAGAAAAACCAACAGTCAGATTCCCCCTTTTCCTCTCTATCTGACAAGTTTCAACCAGAATCCACTTCACTCCAGAAGGATGAACAGTCAAAATTAGGGCTGCACGATAAATCGCATGCGATATTTAACGAGCATCTTATCAGTAAAGCCGGTTCTGTAATCAGCGGTAAATCTCCATCACCTGCGGGCTTTCACATTGAGCAGCATTAACTACACAGAGCCGTTGTTCACTGACGAGTTGCGCAAAACCACGTTCATATTCGCGCGAATTTACCTATGATTACAGAACCGGCTTTCTGACAAGATGCGCATTGAATATCGCATGCGATTTATCGTGCAGCCCTAGTCAAAATCGGTAACGAAGTTGAGGAAGAGCCTGTCAGAATCTCCACTGCCACTAAACTCTGAGAATAGCCAATGGGAATCTTCCATCCCTCTTACATCAGATGGCTCACAGTGGGACAGTCCATTGCCATTGCCTTCAGAAAAAAATGAGGATAACCAAATGATTGGTGAAAAGTGTCACTACTCGATCCGTACCGGAAACACGATTTGTACTGCGCATGCGCGAAATTGCTTCCACTTCCTGTCACCGCCAACGTTTTTACGACAGTCTAGCGATATGGATTCTTTTGCATTCTATGTACAGGTTCAAGAATTTCTCTTAAAAGGAGAAATTCCTGACAATTCTGCAAATCGTCGGAAGGTTAGACGGGCGTCGACAAATTTTATCATCAAAGGTAACTATTAGTACCGAAAGATTTTATAATGAAAAAGAGAATTGACTCTGTTACAACCTGGGCCGTGTGCTTAATTCTATTTTTTTTTTTAAATATCAAGCTACGTTCACTGGCGCAGTACAAATCGTGTTTCCGGTACGGATCGAGTAGTGACAAAGATGGTGAACTACCCATTCCTCAACCCAGGGAGAGAAGTGTTAAACCAAAACTATCCACAGGTCAGTGCAGTCTTTGCATGTGTGCAATTGTTTAAGATCTGTGATCTTTGCAACACCTGGGGTTGATTTTTATTCTGTCTATAAAATCAGCTTAAGAAGTGTCAGAAACTAAAATAAACTTTCTTTAATGTAAACAGGTTGTCTTGCTCAAGACATGTCGCTCAAGACATGTCACCCAGACCCAAACCCAGGCAGAGGACGGCACAGACTAAATACTGGGTGTTTCAGGTCTGACGACATCACGCGGGCGTGGTTTAATCGCAAGGTCAAGGAGCATGCGCAGTTTACACGCTCCGTGTGAAACCCGCGAACGTGTGACAGCGGCACGACTTGCGGAGATCTTGACTTTGTTTAATTTTCGCGCATTTCAAACAAGAATGATTATCACGTCTAACATTAAACAGTGGGGAAAGAAAAAAAAAAACTAATGTGGCACATTGAAAAATTAGAGGAATGCTGCCAGTTAAATAGGGTTTGTCGTATAAATAAAGACATTAGCACCAAGTGCCAGATTAACAGATAACTATGTGTGTTTTCTCATTTTTATCAGTTATTTTTCAAATATCTCATATAAGCTTTTTATACTGTGCTTCAGAACAGAGGACAGCAAATATGTGTGACATTGGTCAGTTAGAAGAGGAAACACAAGCAGAGACCACTGCTTGCAGCAGAACAGCCACATCTTCTATGTCTATAGACCTCTCCAACACATTCTCTACTGAGAAGAGTCAAATCTCTACCAATGATAGTGTTCTGGTGAGAATGCCTTAATAATAGAAAGACAAAAAGTGTCAGTAGAATACCAATTTAAACACCGTAAATGCTAAAACCCAAGCTTAGAGATGTTACTTTTTTTTAATTACAAGTATGAATTTAGTAGAGGCATATGTACAGTATTAAAAACAAAGATTTTTTATTGGCAGCATTTGGCACCAATTCTTTCATGAAGAACATTTAACATCCATGGAAACTTTACACAAAACTTTGCACAAAAAGTGTTTTGTAGTGTAAAAGGGTTCTTCAGGTTGTCCTTCACACTAAGAAAAATTATTGTTTTAAAGGGGTCATATGATGCGATTTCAAGTTTTCTTTTCTCTTCGGAGTGTTACAAGCTGTTTGTGCATAGATAAGATCCCTAAAGTTACAAAAACTAAAGTCTCAAACCCAAAGAGATATTCTTTTAAAAAGTTAAGAGTTGTCCACGCCCTCCTAAAACGGCTCGTTCCAACACGCCCCCACATGTCTATGTCACAATGTGGGAAGATTTGCATAACGCCGCCCAAATGTTCACGCAAAGAAAGAAGGCGTAACTTTTATTCCCTTCCAAAAGAGGACACAACTAGAAATCAGTGGTTAAGTTGTATTTACAGCACTGTTCCAGAACAGTTCAAACGAAATATTCGAGTGTGTGCAGCGCATTTAATGGAGGACTGTTTCCTGGGAGAGTAGCCTACAATGCGTCTGTGCACAAAGGCTGTTTCTATAAAGTGGTGCAATTCCAACTTTGCAAGGACAGTCTGGCGCTTCTGACTCACAGCCTGTAAGTATGTTTTCATATTTAAAGAATTTGCCACTGACGATTCAAACGTGAATTTTGAGCAGTGGCGAGTAGCGCTTGTTGTTTGTCCTTTCTCAGATCACAAATGCAGACATGGTTTTATGTTTACGCGGCGTGATATGCAACGCAATGCGTAATAAGACAGTATAAGTCATTATAATGAGGGGTGCACATAAGTGGTCCGCATGCGTGACCAAAATAAGAAATGCGCTGTGTAAATGAGTTCAGAGCGCGCGTTTGTGTACCGATATGGGCTGTGTTTCCCAAAATCATCGTAAGCCTAAGTACATCGGAGACCCATTGCCACCTATGGAGCTACGATCAACTTAGGCTTACAATGCTTTTTGGAAACGCAGCCATGGTTGACAGCTGTTAATGCACAATTACCATTTTAGATTGACAAACTGTACTGTATAAGATTTCTATTAGAACTGAAAGCATAAATCTAGGCTAAC